GACCCGGGGGCTGCAGGCACGGCTGCACCAGATGCCCTGGGTGCCGCTGTGCCTGTGGCCCCGCCCCTCCCTTCGTGATCGCATATCTGGGCCTCAGGCACGGCTGCACCTGGTCCCCCGGGTGCAGCCATGCCTGCGGCCCCGCCTCTCCCTTCAAGATCGCAGATCAGGGGACTGCAGGCACAGTGGCACCCAGTGCCGGAGTGCCCTGTGCCTGGGGCCCTGCCCCTCCTTTCGCCATCGCAGATCAGGAGGCCACAGGCCAGCTGGCACCCCTGGCCCGGGGATCCTGCACCCCGGCTCTCTCTTCCTCCGATGGCCATGGTGATCACCGGCACTCCTGCAGGGGGTGTCGAGTGGCCTGCTGGGCTTTCTGATGGCGATCACTGGCTTGCCTGCCACCATTCTTCTGTCTTTCCCCTTTTGCCTCCCATCATTGTGCCTATGTATACAAATTAGCCAACATCTTTGTTGGCGGTTAACCGCCATCTTGGCTGGCAGTTAATTTGCATATCGCCCTGATTAGCCAATGGGAAGGGTAGAGGCTGTACGGCTAATTACCATGTTTCTCTTTTATTAGATAGGATGTTTACACACTTGAATGTATATAAGCTGTTCCTCAAAATTAAATGGAAAGAAACTCAAGGGGGAAAATGCTATCCTCGTGAAATATCCTTACAGGAACTTGTTTCTCTTTACAAAAGGGGATTTCACAAAGACCTGATGGTTGTAGTTGTGAGAAAAATAAAACTAGTCCCTGTTTATACCACACTTCATCCAACAAGTATGACCAGCACTGCACATAGTAAGCACTTATAACAGCTGCTGTTACCACTCTTACCGTTATATTTTTAAAAAAATATATTTTATTGATTTTTTACAGAGAGGAAGGGAGAGGGATAGAGAGTTAGAAACATCAATGAGAGAGAAACATCGATCAGCTGCCTCCTGCACACCCCCTACTGGGGATGTGCCCGCAACCAAGGTACATGCCCTTGACCGGAATCGAACCTGGGACCCTTCAGTCCGCAGGCCGACGCTCTATCCACTGAGCCAAACCGGTTAGGGCTGTTATATTTTTATTTAGTAAATAAATTGTCATTCTTCATTGCGTTGCCATTCATTCCTATTATTTCAAACATGAAGAAGGTAAGGAAAACATCATGTGTTAATAATGGTAATACCTGCTTTTACTTCCACAACATCTTTCTCCTCAAGCTGATTTTCTGGAATTTGATGATTTTTCTGGGAATTCGCTGGGAAACCATTTCAGGGGACGTGGGTGGGCTCTCTGTGTCAGCCCTCAGGATGGTGTCACTGTTTTCACAGGTTTCTTCCGTGCTCCGGGGATTCCTGGACCTGATGCTGGTGAGGGAGCCCTCTCAGAGAGCCACAGCCCAGGAACTCCTTGGACATCCGTTCTTGAAACTGGCAGGTCCGCCTTCTTGCATCGTTCCCCTCATGAGACAGTACAGGCATCACTGAGCAGAGGATCCATACAGGCGACAAAGCCAGAGGAGGACATGAGAATAATTCAGGAGAACATGAGGCAACGACAGAACATGCAAAGGCCTGTGCATTCTAAGCAGCTGATCGGTGGGACAGTGTGATGACCAGCAGGGTTTAACAGACCAGGGCATCTTCTTGTGTCTTAATCGGCATCTCTCCACTGACAGCTGGCATGCTCATTGGGAACACGGCTTTCATAAGTCATCATTATATTTTTCAGCCCTTCATCCAGCAAATCAGAAGGATTCAGTACAAACTCTGTTATGACACATCCTAGCCACATGCAGGGTAACACATAGGATTTTCTATATTGAAAGAATACTTTTCTGGCAAAAAAAAAAAAGGAAGGAAAACAAAAAGCACTTTTTTCTTAATGGTAGCAGTGTAATGTATTTTGCAATGAATTTGTAATTTTTCTGTACGATAGTTTTGATAATTTATAGTACTTTGATGTCGCGTAGCCATTGTATCAGTTGAAGTAATACTTGTTTACTAGCAAGAGTTTGAACAAAGCCTTTCCTACTTTTTTATCCCTTTCAGAGAACCAACGATTCTTAGGAACTTTGAATACTGAATGACTCTCAATCACCGTCAGCTTTAGTAGAATATCTTTCTTATCTTAACAAGTGTCTTATGTGATGGAAGAAGCACTAAGAGTGATGGTGATGGTGGTGCACATTTCATTTATCCAACCAAAAATAGTAAGATGTGAGCCACAGGAGACCACCAAACTACTCTTTGGGATAAAGCTAAATGTTTGGAAAAATCACATTTCCCTTTAAGGCTGTTAGTCACAAACCAGTGTTTGCCCAGCGGGTATTCCCCCGCCCCCGCCCTGCCCCCGTGCCCTGTCTCAAATGAGTATGACGTCCCCTTGTGGCCAAATTTCCCTCCCAAGGAACAATTTCAGTGCTAGGATCATTGACTGGGACCCCCATGTTGAAGGTTTCAGTAAGGCCGTGAGATTTCCAGTCTCACAAAGGGAAAGGAGCTAGAACAGGGCAGGATGTTTGGTTTCGTTTGTCACTGTTTGAAAACTCTGTATGCTAGCACACCAAACTCTTGTCTGCATTTACCTTCGTACCGCAGTGTTGATCGCTGTTGTTCATGTATCGTGCTGGAAGCTGAACTGACTCTAGAGGGTGAATTAGGAAGGGTGGGACCTGACTCCAGTGGTGACCATGTTATAATGTGTTTCTGACATAGGAGAGTTGTGCTGCTGACTAGGTCTCCTCAAATGTTGATAGCAATGAATGACTACTACATTTTGTGTTGCTTGTTGGATGAATTTGCATGTTAACTGTAGGCCAATGTAGATTTGCCTTTAAAACTCTGGAAGAGCTACATAGTCATCATTAGTTTCCATTAATTATGCATCAGACAAAAGCCATTTGTTACCAAACCGGAAAACCAGAGGCTTTTCTTAATGACTTCACATACTGTAACAAATACGAATTTAAATTTGTGAAAATGCTCTGGTTGCTCTAAGCATAATTAAGATTTTTTTGTAATTAATAGGTTGCTAATTATTTATTATAGTTAAAAGGGAAAAAAGGCATAAAATGACTTTCTACTGATTAGATTTTCAGTCTTCCCCAAAACTGGAAATGCCTAACCATAAATAGAATCTGTAATTTTATTTCATAAAACTCAAAAGTCAATGTCTTATGTAAAATATTAAGATATTAATATAAATATGTAAGAATAAAAACCATCTAAATTCAGAAAATGGCAGTCCTAAAAATTCATGGAACAGATTGTATTAATTTAGGCAGGACTATGTAGTAGAAAGAAAAGAAAAAGAAAATCTCTTTTTTAACCAGGACAAATAACAAAACCATTGCAGAAAATAGTGGATTTTGGATTCCAAACATTTTGACAGTGTACTGGAAATTTTTCTGTAATTTTCTTATCACTGGGTATTTTTTAAACTACTCGTTGGGTTTACCGAAAGCTACTGTAGCTTAAGGTTTTGTGAGCACTAACTATTGGCAGAAACTGCACTTGCAAATAAAAATAAATGTTTGCCTTTTTTCTTATTGTTATTAGAAACTACTGATTTTCCCAAGTTTGTTTTCTTGAGTAATCAAGAATGGTTTCACTATGATCTTGGGGAATGCAACTGAGTTGGTATAAAGTTATGTGTAACATCATGATGACATAAGCCAAAGACAAATATTCCCATCCCCAGAGGTTACAAAGAATGTAAAACTATGTTGTAGATACCACTATTGAGGAAAAATAATTATTAAATTCTTGAAGCCAAGTTCAAGGAAAGCCAGATTCATAGCTAAAGACACCCACTTCATTTCCCTGTTCCAAAGATGCTGAACTGATCTGAAGGCTTTTACCACCACCACCACCAACAACAACAACAACACATAAAAAGGAGATTTTTTGCATTAAAGAAGGTGTGGTGAGAGGTCTCTAATAACCTGGAAGGGGCTTTCCCCCTCCCCTTCTTGATTGGGTGACAAAGGAGACATTAACATTTAAATCATGAAGTTGAGAGGGACACTTGTCTATAAAGAGTTGATTTCTCAACTAGAAATTTCTGAAGGTGGAAACCCTCAGGGAACAGCCTGAGATAGCATGATGAGAAAGGATGTAGTATGCCAGGGAAGAGAAAGATGGAGGTAACCTTCCCCAGGCAGGTCCCCAAAGCCATTACAGGGCATGGAAGGAGACATCAGCTTCCTTTGGTGATGATGGGCCATGGAAAAGGAACAGGGAACATGGCAACCCATTTAGCTAAGCATTGGGATGCCCAACCTAGATAATGCATTGGAGGCATACACCATGGAGGGAACTAAAGGGAGGTATGGCTGCTTTTCTGCAGGGTGAAGGCATCAGGGTAGAGCTGAACCTGATTCTAAAAACTACATGCACCATCTTCATCAAGACCACTCTAAATGACAGAGGTTTCAGGCTGACACAAATGAGATGCACGCATCTTCTCTTCTTCCAACAGCATCTCCAAACAACCAGATGGGTTACCAGAACCTTCCTTCTGCTCCCAACTGCTCCCTATAATTTTAAGCTATGTGTTAGTATGAGACCCCATGATTTGGAGAAGGGACTTGGAAAGAAGAAAGGGTAATAAGAGCACATATCCTGTTTCCTGCCCCTACCTATCCACTGCCAACTCCTTATCTTTTTCTGATACAAGTTTAGCCCAAGCAAAGGAGAGGGGATTTATTTTAAATTAGAATGAAATTATTTTTTAAAATATATTTTTATTGATTTCAGAGAGGGAGAGAGAAACATCAATGATGAGAGAGAATCATCAATTGGCTGCCTCCAACATACTCCCCTTCCCCCCACTGAAAATTGAGCCTGCAACCCTGGCATGTGCCCGGACCATGATCTCCTGGTTCATAGGCCGATGCTCAACCACTGAGCCATGCTGGCCAGGCATGAAATGATTTTTTAATGGATTAGACAGAATCATGAGTTATGGTTGTTACTCATTACCCACTGGGAAGAACACACTTAATAGAAATTACTGGAAAAATAAAATTATTCCATGAAGTTAATAACTCAAGGAGTTCAGTCAGACTCCTTGCTCAAACTGGTTAAAAAAAAAAAAGAGTACTGTGTCATCAAAGAAATGTAATGAGATTCCAGAGAAAAGATAGGTTTGTTCTTAAGTAGGTACAAAATGTACAAGCAGAAGCATCTGTGAAAGTGACATAACATCGTACAAATTCAAATTGTGCAGTGAAGTTGGTCAACTTGAGCCTGAAAATGGGTTCATTCTGGAGTTGTATTTCCACCCAAATTAATATATCACCTTAATGTAAGTTCTGCCAAAAAGAGAACCAAAGATTTTGACACAAATAATTTACTTGGGAGATGATTCCAAGAAGCTCACTCATCATGGCAGAGTGGAGAAATCACAAAGAGGAGAGGGAAATTTTTGGGGAAAAATGTTTTAATGAATGGGTTACCACAACAGGTGACTGGGGCTCCCACTGGAGACCTGCTGGAGAGACGCATGCTGGATATTTGTCCACCATCTCCCATCCCTCATGGGCTGAGAGGTGATCCTACAGCCTCAACTCCCAGAGCTTCCATCTCGACCTGTACCTGGCAGTTTGCTCCCTCTAATGAAGAGGGGAGGCATGGGAAGCCATGGGCATATACAGAAACCGTCACCAGTGACTTTCAGGAAGGACTGAGGTGGGACCCTAACATCTCCTACATAAATAAACTTGGTGAAGGACAAAAAGAGGACTCAGGAAAAGAAGAATTACTGATTTCTGGATCAAAATGTACTGCTTTTTAAGCAAAGCTATTCCTTATCCTGAAGTTTGCTCAGGTAGCAAATGTTTTAAAAATCATGCCTCATCATTGTCAGCATTTAATAAAATGTAAAGCTAGAAAGGACTTCAAGGGCTTATATGATCCATCTTAAATGCACTAACCAAGGCTCCCAGCATTAATCATAATACCTGAACACACACACACACACACACACACACACACACACACACACACACATTTCGGTTCCATGCGGGCAGGGATGTTTACCTAATTTGTTCGCTCAGTACTAACAAACACTTGTTATCTCATTTGTCATATGAGCCTTTGTGAGTCTGAACCAGGGGTGGACAAACTTTTTGACTCGAGGGCCACAATGGGTTCTTAAACTGGACCGGAGGGCCGAAACAAAAGCATGGATGGAGTGTTTGTGTGAACTAATATAAATTCAAAGTAAACATCATTACATAGAAGGGTACGGTCTTTTTTTTTTAGTTTTATTCATTTCAAACGGGCCGGATCCGGCCCGCGAGCCGTAGTTTGCCCACGGCTGGACTCTGAACCCAGCAGACAACCTGAAAGGTATGGTCACTTTAAATGACAACTGAGGCAGCCAATAGGCCTGGAGCTCTGAGCCTAATTCCCACCCTAGACCTTCTTGCCTGTCTGAAGCCTATGGACCATTCTAAGAAAATGGTTTTAAATGCATCAAGTAAAACACACCAGCTTATAAAGGAAACCAATTAAAGTATAGTTATCAAAATGTTTTAATGTTATGGTTATAAAGCATTAAATAACAATATCTTGGGAAGATCTACCATAATTTCAAAGTAAGGAGTATAAATGACTTAGAGATATCACCAACCAATGTAATATAATGATTTCTGTGTATTTTACAGTGGTTTGGTGCCTGTGTTCAGAACTGAGGGAATTCTACCTTTTATAGGAGGTTAGTAAAAACCAAAGGTGTAATTTTTTCCCATCCAAGTGCATGGACTTCCCCACCTAAGTAGTTTTCTGGCTGGGGGTGGGGAGAAATCCCTGCACATAAACACTCTAAAATAAAAATAAACTGACACAGAAAACTGTGGATACCAGATTAAAAACCCTTGCACTAGTCCCATTGGGTCTTTCTCGAGCTTGTATGGCAGGTAAAGTTGGAATAGATGTGTTAAGAATTATGCTAGGAAAATGTCATCAATAATACCTTTTATAGAGCATTTCCAGTGCACCAGGCAATGTGCTAGGGACTTAATGCACTGTCATGAATCTGCAAATAACGTTGTAGCCATGGGCATATGAGCTCTATTATCTGATGAGAATATGAGCACAGAGAAGCCCAATAATTTGGCTAATAGCAAAGGATTTTTAAAAATATATTTTTTATTGATTTCAGAGAGAAAGGGAAAGAGAGATTGGCACCCTCCTGCATGCCCCCCACTGGGGATCGAGCCCACAACTGGGCATGTGCTTTGACTGGGAATCAAACCGTGACCTCCTGGTTCATAGGGCAATAGTCAACCCCTGAGCCACACAGGCCAAGCATTAACCAGTTTTCATATTGTTATACAAAATTACCTGGGGACGGTAATAAACTACAGAGATTCTCACTCAGTCCGGGATGATGTCCTAGAACTGATGTTTCTTTTTCGGTGGCCCCTGGGATGATGCTGACGCAGGCTGCTTGCAAACTGCACTTTGACACTGACGTAAAGCTGCGTCTGCCTCTTTCTGAGGTGTTTCCTCCAGGGAAGTGTTTGTGCCCAACGCCAGCCTGGATGACCTCCAAGTAAAACACCCCAGCGCACCCACACAGCAGGCTGCCTCCACCCCCATGCTGCAGGCCATCCCCACCACCTCCCTTCCCATCCTCCACCTTTCTCCGCTGCCTCCCACACCCATGCAGCTTTGCCACCTCTGTTCATGGAAAGATTGGGCAATTGGCTAGATGACAGTGGTCATAGTTTAGACTGGAGAACAAAGTCTCCCCTGGCCCCTGAGAAAGCTTCCAGGGAGCTATTTCCCAAATATAAGGGAACCCTGCAAAGAACCTCACTCAGAATTTAAATGAAACTCATGCTCCCCAATAGAAACCTGCATAAGGTTCCTCCAGCCAGGTTTTTCCAGGCTGGCAGACCAGCAACCTGACCCAATATCCTTTTGTGCCCACAGGCATTTGTGTTGAAAACTCCAGTAAAAAATAAAAAAATGATGGTTAAAAGGATTATTGAGCATTTGTGGTTTGTCTGTTTGTTTTCTCTCATCTCTGAGCTTGGGGAGCAACACAGAGAGAGGAGCTACAGCCTCAGCTTGTTCCTGGTATAGTAGCAGTTGTGAAATGCAAAACAGTGACTCCGGCCATGAAAGGAGCCCAGGACTGAGACATGGGGGTTGATTCAGTGCCTCTGGACTCCTGGCCTTCCTGCCCAGAGATCACTGCCCCTGCCCGAACAGCAGCCTCCCACACCAATTTTGTTTAATTGATAATGAAGAGGAAGACATGGCTGAGAGAAATAAAGTGAGGAGCAAAGAAATTAGGCTGAACCTGAGACCTCATCATATACAGCTAGCTAGAAAAAGACGATGTGATTAATAACAATGATAGTCATAGTGCTACGGCTTTTATGCATACTGCATGTTGCAGGTGGAAAAATCAGTCTTAAGTTTGAGATTTAAGATATTTGGATCCTAACCTGGCTGGTGTTGCTCAGTGGTTGAGCATCGACCCATGAACCAGGAGGTCACTGTTTATTCTCAGTCAGGGCACATGCCCCAGTTGTGGGCTTGATCCCCAGTAGGGGGCGTGCAGGAGGCAGCCGATCAATGATTCTCTATCATCATTGATGTCTCTATCCCTCTCTCTGAAATCAATAAAAACAAAATAAAATAATAAATTGGGATCCTAGAAAGATTTAATTAGTCAGCTTAGACACAGGGATGTGGCCACATGACAACTTTCTGAAAAGAGCCAGGGCATTTTTAGAATGACCTGCATGTGTGTTGTTTTCTGTCAATCCTCCACTATAGACTCTAGGTTGTCAAGTTTACTCAGTGGGTGCTCAAAAACCGTTGAATAAATGATTAAATGACTATCAAAACTAATAGAGTCCTATGTTTTGTGAAAGTAAATTTTAAAAAACAACACAAATTTACTATTGTGAAAGTAAATGTGGAATTTTCAGATGTATGGCTCAAATTTCTAAAAGTTTTTCTGAAGGAGTTACAGAAATTAAGGTTAACTTATTGGTATATCTAAAGGTCCATTTGTCCCCAAATCCTTAGATGATTCCATTAAATAATGAAGTTTGTAAAAAAAAAAAAGAAAAGAAAAGAAAAAAAGAATACATGGGATGCTAAAAAGGAAAGGGCTTGTCAAGGTTGGGCCAGGGGGTAAGATGATCACAGATGATAGCAGAATGGAGTAACCCGTGGGGAGATGTTCACAGGCATCAAAGGCAGCTCCTTTTCCCTGTGAAATGTGCAACTTTTATGAGAAATTGGGGCTTTTTCCTCACTGGTACCAGACAGACACTGAAGAAAGTTGATTCAGAGGGAAAGACTGAGGTTGAAAGAGCAGCAAACACATGGGGAACAACAGCAATTGGCTGATGTTTATCAAGATTTGCTGGGATCCTGGATTTCTAAGGACGCACTACTGCCAGCAGTTGAAGGCTGGAGGGGATGGGCTCGTGCTGCCTCTTACGTGGTGGAGACTGCATGGGGGTGGGGGATGTCCACCCTAACATCAGAAGATAGACTTCTTCTTCTCCTACTTAGATCTTCTGAAAAATGATTATTTAGGAAATGAGGGAAATTCAAATAATGATGTCTCAATAAATTACATTTTACTTCAAATAAAACTCCACCTAGGCTACCAATTTCAGTCCCTCTTTTTAATGTTGTTGGTTTTTTTATTGATTTCAGAGAGGAAGGGAGAGGGAGAGAGAGATAGAAACATCAATGATGAGAGAGAATCATCAATCGGCTGCCTCCTGCACATCCTCTACTGGGGATTGAGCCCGCAACCTGGGCATGTGCCCTGAGCAGGAATCGTACTGGTGACCTCTTGGTTTCTGGGTCAATGCTCAACTGCTGAGCCACACCCAGCTGGGCCAGTCCAGCTTTTTATCCAAAGTGAAATACAAAACTCAAGACCAAGAAGCGTCAGAGGCAATATCAGACCAATTGTTAAGAGATGCCATCATTAAACGATGTATAATTGCCAAAGAAATTCATGTCCTGCCACTTGGAAAGGCCCACATCCCCTCCGATGCCTCCTGCCCATCCTTTGCTTTTCCTCCTGCAGAAATGAATACCCCGTCTTCATCATTGCCCTCCCTCCTCTGGATGCCAAAGAAACCATTTTAGGTTTGTTTTCTTGTTTCAAGAAAGCAGCCAAACTTTAGACTGTAGTGTTTTAATTCATTCTGAAAAACAAACTCACATGGATTGATTGATTCTTCAGGTCCCCTTAGTTGGACCTGGCACACTGTGAAGTCCAAACAGCTCTGCAGAGTGGCATTGACCAGGTGCTTGTGCTGCGAAGTCACTGGGTGCAAGTAGCAGTGGAACATTCCCAAGACAATCACTAGACATGCAGAATGCCAGCCAGAAGCATGGGTCACTTTCAGGGGTCTTGCCGCAGGGAGCATGAGGTTGTATTTTGTGTGCATTGACAATTGTGTAGGGTAAGCCAGCTGTGTTCAAGGGACCAAAGCACCCCCATTCCTCTGAACCTAAAGGGGTGTCCTCCCAAAGGGAGTGTCTTTCCAATCTGTAAAGTTTGGGGCCAGATACCCCTCTGACTTTTATGTGTTACTCCTTCAAAAGTCAAAGCCAAGCCACCATGAGCATGAAAGCTGGCTGACCCCTCTATTCCCATTCCCCAGCATAGAGAGAACAGCTGCCACTCACCTCCTGCATCCAAAAGAATCCCTCCATCCCTGGGTTTAAGCATGGACGCTGGTCAAGCAAGCCTGGGATACCCAGGACTGCCGGATTGTAGCTATGTTGGTGTATCCCATGTACAAGGTGGTAAAGTGCTTTTGTGTCTCTATCTGATCCAGGTGGGGCACAGGGGTTTGGGGCTGCCTGCCTAATGGCCCCTAGCCCATGTGTTTATATTGGGACCGGTCCCTAGGGATCTGCACCTGGTTGGCAGTCATTTTGTGGTGGATGTGGTAAATCACCAGCGTTACCACAATGACGAGACCCAAGATGAGCCCCAAAATCAGGGGCAAGGTTTCCTCCAACTGTTCCTGTTCATCCACCTGGCATTTATGCTCTGAAATGGAAAAGAAGAAGAAAAGCAGTGAGCTCCTGTCCAAAGGCACTAAATCATACATCCTCCGACCAAAATTTAAAGGCAATGGAGATGAAAATCTCCTTCAAGGAAACTTTGGGGAGACCTGTGGAGTGTGTGTGTGTGTGTGTGTGTGTGTGTGTTTTCAGAAACAATATTTCCCCAACCAACCCTAAGGCTGAATCACAATATTTTTGCATAATATAAAATAAAAATACACCAATTAAATAAGGCAACATTCAGTTATCGAATTCTGGGCAATGTCAACAATATTCAGATGAATTTTTCAATTTTCAGAGTGTCAGAAACAACCACTATCATTTTTATTATTGGTTTGATTGTATAACTTTTTCTTGAAGTATAATGTACACATAGAAAATTGTACACAAATATACAGCTTTAAAAAGTCTGAAAGTACCAAGTGTTGGCAACTATATGAAGCAATTGGAACTCTCATACATCATTGGTGGAAAATGGTACAAACACTTTGTAAAACTGTTTAATGGTTTCTAATTAAGACCAAGAAACCTTTCAGACACAAAAGAGTACATATTGTGTGATGCCATTTATATGACATTAAGAACAGGTAAAACTAATCTATGGTGATTAAAATAATAAAAGTGCTTATATCTGGCAAACAGGACACAAGGGAACTTTCAGATGTGTTGGAAATATTCTCTATCTTGATCTAGGTGAGAGTCACCAAGTTGCAAGTACAGATAAAAATGCATTGGGTTAAATACTTTAGATTTGTGCATTTGAATATATGTAAACATACTAAATTTTTAAAAGAAAGTGCAGAGCTTAGTGAATTTTCACAAATGAATACCCCATGTAACCAGCACCTAGATCAAGAAAGAAAATGTTACCAGCACACAGAGTGATTCAATCTTACTCTCTTAAAATTCAAAAGTTTCATAGCCCCAGGTCTCCATTTTTCACGTAAAACCAGAAAAGCAATTTTGGGGAAACCTGGTTGTCAGATACTTAGTAGAGATGACCAGAAGTGCATTCCTAGCAAGCAGTACATGTTTACTTGAGCTCCTTTGCTCCCTGTGGGTAACGACTGGCCTTTCACCAAACTTATGAGCCACAACTGGATAAAACAAGCTTTAGATATCTGTTTATAAAGACCAAGTTCTTAAGTAAAAATGACCCAGTGAGTGCTTATTGCACAATTACTATGTTCCAGGATGCTCCAGAATCCCTGTTGATACAGTCCTCCCTCTCAACTCACCCGAGACCAATAAAAAGAATCTGGAAAATCACAGGCAAATATGCAGTTTTCTAAAAGCTCATACTTAACATGCCTGGTTCCTAAATTAATTTTCAGTCCTAAGTACAAAGATTGTCTCATTTAATCTCTATAACAATCCTATTTTATCTTTGAAGAGAACAATGAACAGAAATAGAGTCCCTAGAGTAGGGATTTTGTTAACAAGAAAGGTTGTTTTCCTCACTAAAACACACTGTTGTGCGTGTTATGTTAACACAGATTATGGGGTTTGCTCAATTTCCATGTGCTGGCTGCAAACTCATACTTTGATATTCATAACAAACCCCCTTCAACCACACCTGGGTTTATATTAATGAGGGACTTTGGGAAAACCCCTCGGTCACCTAAAGATGGGGGTGCTGGTTGCCAGGAGAACCAGTCCTGTGATTAAAGTGTTGAAACTTTTGGACCCCAAACCCTGATTTCTGGGAGGGGAGAAGCCCTAGAGCAGTGGTTCTCAACCTTCTGGCCCTTTAAATACACTTCCTCATGTTGTGACCCAACCATAAAATTATTTTCGTTGCTACTTCATAACTGTAATGTTGCTACTGTTATGAATCGTAATATAAATATCTGATATGCATGGGTCAATAGTAAACCACTGAGCCACACCAGCCAGGCTGTGTTTTATTTCTTAACAAAGTTTTTTGTTGCGTTAGAGAAAAAAAAACCTGAACTAAACACAGCACAGGAAGTGGTTTCTAAAGGGAGTATTAAACTATGGACATTTCAAAAATAATCATGGGAAATTGAGTTCAATCACCAGTGGCCGGTGATATAATCAGTCCTGCCTCTGCAATGATACCTCAATAAAATCCCACAAGGACTGGTTTACAGAGCTTCTGGTTGGTGGACACAAGGATATGTAGGGAGAATGGCACACTCAGAGAGGGCATGTGCCCTGACCTTTTATAAATGGGTGATCTAATAGAGTTCTGAGAGCCACTCTAACAAATTAATCAGACCTGAGGAGAAGGAGGAAACCTCCAATATATAGCAGGTTGGTCAGATTGCTGTCTGAAGTGGGGCTGAGTTCTTAACCTGTGTGATCTGATCGTATCTCCAGGTGGATCATGTCAGAATTGAGTGGAATTGTAGGACTCCCAGTTAGTGTCAGAAAATTGCTTGGGAAAAAAATTGGTTGGGGAAAAAAACACTAATATTGGATTTGGTGTCAGAATCGTAGTGGCAGATATATTATTCTTAAATAGATAATAACTTTGGTGTAGTTATGAGAAATAACATTTTATATCCCATCTTTTTTTCTAGAGGAGAAAAGCACAATGTATTTTGGCATGAATACATTGCCAAATTAAATTACTATTGTGTCTTTTGTTTTTCTTTTCTTTTTTTAAAATTTTATTTCAGGGAGAGGTCATGAGGGTTAGAAACATCAATGATGAGAGAGAATCATTGATCAGCTGCCTCCTGCATGCCCCCCACTGGGGATTGAGCCCCCAACCAGGGCATGTGCCCTGACCTGGAATCGAACCATGACCTCCTGATTCATGGGTCAATAGTCAACCACTGAACCACACCAACCAGGCTGTGTTTTATTTCTTAACAAAGTTTTTTGTTGCATTAGGGGGAAAAACTGAAGTAAACAGCACAGGAAATGGTTTCTAAATGGAATATTAAACTATGGACATTTCAAAAATAATCATGGGAAAATAAGAGGATGTAAAAAAGTGTCATGAAAAATACTGAATCCCCCCATCCTTACTCATCCCCTTCCACTAAGAGGTCAAATAAAGGGGAATTCCTGAGCCTGCTATCCCTTATCCACCATTCCAAAACCCACAAAGTTCTGTCACTCATTTGGCAGCAAAACCTGACTTGAGTTACCATTGGACTGCTCATGATTCTCATTCATCCTACCTCGTGTGAATATTCACATTTTTCATTGCAAGATACAGATATGTTAATATATTTGATTACAGCGGACTGCAATCAGAGTCTGGGGTCTTCTTAATACAGTAGTCTCTCTTACACATGGGGATATGTTCCAAGACTCCCAGTGAATGTCTAAAATTGTGGATAATATATATACTAGAGGCCCGGTGCACCAATTCATGCATGGGTGGGGTCCAGTCAGCCAGATTGGGGCTGATCAGGTTGGGCTGGCCAGGGGAAGAGGCCATGGGAAGTTGATGGGCCGGCCCCGCCCCTTGATCAAACTCCCAGTCAAACTCCAGGTAGAGGGAACAATTTGCATATTAGCCTTTTATTATATAGAATAATGTTTTTTCCCCTCTAAACACATACCTATAATAAACTGATTTATAAATTAGGCATAGTAAGAGATTAACCACAATAACTAAAAATAGAACAATAATAACAATATGCTGTACTAAAGGTTATGTGAATGTGGTCTCCTTTCAAAATACCTTATTATAATGTACTTACCCTTCTTCATGCGATGATGTAGATGATACAATGACCGAGTGATGAGATGAAGTGAGGTGAAAGACGTGGGCTATAAGGGTTACTTGAACACAGGGCTCTGTGATATGCAATAGTCAATCTGATAACATGAACAGCTACTAAGTGACTAATGGCAGACAATGTAGATATGTTGGACAAAGGGCTGATTCACAGACCAGGTGGGATAAAGTAGGACAGCGAGATAGTTCACCATGCTGCTCAAAGCATTGCACAATTTAAAACTTATGAATTGTTTATTTCTGGAATTTTCCATTTATATATTTAGACCATGGTTGACCATAGGTAACTGAAATTGTGGAAAGCAAAATCACAGTATCTGTTTTCCTAAAATCTACAATATTCTGAAAATTGTCAAAGATTTTAGATGAGAGATTGTGAACCCATAAAGGATTCCTATTTCCCTTTTAGGCTTCAGCCAGTGTTTTCAAACTGCCTCTAACCCATAGGGAAAAAATTTTATATTACAAGTCAAAACAGATGTATACATATATAACTAAAACCGGAATTTTACAAGACAATAGTTATCCTTACTTTGTGCTTCAAATAATTTTATACCCTATTCTATTTTCTTTTATTTAAAACAGTGCTTGCACCCAGCCAGCATGGCTCAGTGGTTGAGCATTGACCTCTTTTATTTAAAACAGTGCTGGCACCCAGCCAGGTGGCTCAGTGGTTGAGCATTGACTTATGAACCAGGAGGTCACAGGTTGATTCCTGGTCAGGGCATATGCCTGGATTGGGGGGTTTGTTCCCCAGTAGTGGGTGTGCGGGAGGAAGCTGATCAATGATTCTCTCTCATCACTGATGTTTCTATCTCTCCCTCTCCTTTCCTCTCTGAAATCAATAAAAAAACAAACAAAATAAATAAACAGTGCTGGCCATGACCTACTAAATGGAATTTTCCATTTAATATATTTAGACCATGGATGACCATAGGTTGTAATCATTTTTTGTACTAGTTTGATGAAACTGTAACACCCTTCTTAGAATAATGCTTATAAATGCATAAAAATAAAATATTTAAGGTTATACAGGAAACAGATTACACTGAAATGCAGCTATCAACATATTTTTAAATAATTGGAAAGACAATACTATAGGTACTTTCTGTTAATACACGTGTATGCTGGCTGTGATTTACAAAGTAGTGAGATGCATAATTATTTGCAAGATCTGTACAAACTAACGTGAGATGAAAATACGATATCTATTTGTGACAATGTCACAGGTACTACTGATACTACTGTGGGTTGTCACCTTC